TGTGTGTGTGTGTGTGTGTTGTGAAGGAAAGGGGTGGGGGAGGGATGGGAGGGAGAAATAGTCGACATATGAATGATGGCCGGTCAGTTCTATAAACCACGAACCGCCAATCCACTGTTTCTATCGGTGTGGATGATCAAATTGACAAAAAAAAAAGGTATTTTTTTTACTTTCCCTCCTGTCTCACACTTAGAATCTAGCTACCAGTTGTCCATTTTCTACTAAATATTGATGCGCTGAACACGAAATATCAACTTCATTTCCGTTGCAAATAAATAGTTTTTGAAATAGATCTAGATCTATCTGATTGTTTTTAATAGAAGATAGATGTGCTTTGGACCAATCCGGGGGGCCTGCCCCCCTGAGTGAGGCTGGGGGGGGGTTACGTTTTAACCATATAATTGATATTTAGTTAGGCCTAGGCTAGATTTGAAATTTTCTTGAAAATAATTGATTTGCGACAGTTTTAGTGGCATGTGTGATATGCGAAAATTTGCAGCAAACAGTTAAGTACGCACTTTGACCCCCGAAGCAGTGCATCTGTGTGCGTGAGTGAAAGTAAAAATTTACCAAACAAAAAAAAGAAGATGTTATAGCTCAAAAGTAAACTAATTTGGTCATCTACAAAGATGCTATGGCTATTTCACTTTTTTAATCGAACCGAACCACACCGGTCGCCATTTTGCCATTTTGTTTTGCCCGGAAGTTCTCGCCAGATCAAGGCGTATTTAATTAGCCTATAGAGAGCGGAAACGAAGCCTCTTTTCGCGTATCCAGGTCACCAGCTGATCGTGAAACGAGGCGCGGTAAACAAAGCTAATGGCGGCTGTCGGCAGTCGCAAGTCACCCGCAAGTGTAACTGGTGTTTTGCGGCAGTCTGCGTCCGTGCCAATTCAAGATCGCACAATTACCAGACCTAGATCAGGACCCGGACACTGATACTAGATCTAGATCTACAATCTATTATCTAATCTAGATCTAGATCTATATCTACATCTATATCTATATCTCTAGGATTCTAGATCTAGACTAGGTCTAGAGTCCAGGTATTCTAGATCTAGGCCCTAGATCTAGATCTAGATCTAGATCTAGATAGATCTAGATATCTAGTTAGGCCTAGATCTAGATAAGCCTAGATCTAGATCTAGATCTACACATAAGAAAAACGATATTAAATAAGGTTAATGAAAAGTACATGTGCAAATTCTTACATTTCAGGGTCCTTTGGAAAGCTAAAGAATGCTAGATCTAGATCTA